AGTTTGCAGTAACATATAAAAATATCACATAGCAAACAACAGTGGTAAAGTACACAGACGTAAAGCTGATGGGTTCAGAACACACGTTTTACCAAGGTTTTTTAGACGAATTTTTAACTGACACACACGTATACAACCAATCTCATTGGCATTGCAACACCTCCATTTGGCCTGGTCATCCTGACCTTAGGGCACAGGAGTCCGTGGATTACTTTCAGGAAAAAAAGCCGAGGTGGAGACTTCAGGGTATGAGACTGAAAACTGAGACATTACCGAGGTCAGTGTTAAAACCAAAGAACAACAAAAACAAATCTATAGCAGACTTTTCAGTACAGATTTCACAGTGAGAGACACACCACAAGGTTGACATAATTTAATGATTAGATTGTACCAGAGTTCAAAACTGAGTTGGTCTTAGTTTTGTCGGTATATCATCCTTTTTTTTTTCTCTCTAACTGCACTTTTTCCTCCTGGTAAAATGGGCACAGCTTGTGTTTTTGTTGCCTTGTTAAACCAGGAAGAAAAATATTGTATGGGGTTTACATACACACACACACAAACTCACACAGAACCAGACGCGCTGATTGCTTGCTAATTAGCGATTTGGTGCATCATTTAATTGACGGCAAAGCGACTTTGGAGGATTCACAGTTGTCACTGATTTAATTCCAAAGTTAGCCTGCTCTGCTAATTAGCTTCATAATTTGTTATGTCTTACGCACTCAAGCAGCATGTGTGTGCACACGACCACACACACACACACACACACACACAGGCTCTAACTAAAGCACAGTAGTGCGGGGAAAGTGAAGCATTCAGACAGTGTTCTCCTGCGTCTTCCCCGCTGTTCCCAGTCCTCCACTAAAGGACACAGAATTAATGAGCAGCTAAGAGTTGCCTCTAATCACTTCCTGCTTACCTAATGCTACAACCTCCACTTGTTTCTAATCAGGGTACGATCAGCAGTATGCTCCAGTGGTTTTGATTGTAAGGGAAAATAATAGAGGAAATAAAGCTAAGTATTTGTTCTATTAAGATAGAGGGTAAATGGGACTGAACGACTTGTAACTTCAGGCTAAAGACCTGGATTTACAGGGAGAAGGAAGAAAAGCTGCTTCACGGCAGTACTTGGATGTTGGAATTTAAAACATAAATCAATACAAAATATACATCTGTGTTATTCTACTCTATTTTTAAGCTTTACTGGCTACATTCTTTGCTAACATAGCTAAATTTAAAACCTATAGGTTTCAAATTAAAAGATTCATATATGGCTACAAAACAATTAAGCACAATTAAGGTAATAATGCTACAGTTGCCTTTGTAAAGTGATTTGCTTATAATGTCTTTTTTAGGTTTTTGCTATTTTTCTACTTAAATGTAGGTTGAGTTCATATCTATTAGTTAGTTTTATGTTTTTGTAACTCATAGAAATTATTTTCAGCAAACAGCCATTTCTACCACCTTTATATGTATTAGGACCTGTGACACAAAACCAAATTCCTTTTTTTAGCCATGTTCACCAGTGGCTAAATTGTCCACGGCTCTCTGCCTAGTGACAGCTGAGTGATGTGAAACAAACACAACACAGAGTTTACTCATAACCTGTCGCTGGTTTAATGGATGATCTCTATCTGTTGTCTGTCCTGCAGGTGCGTTGGACCGAGACTTCAGGATTGCGTTGGGATGATGGACAGGTAAGACATCCTGGGGCCATGATTGTCATGTGAGGGCTGTATTGCAGTATCATACCCTGCCATGACTTTTTCTCTTCCAAATGTCTTTTGTCCTCATTCAAAGCTCACAAATCACGTCCTGTCCATTTTGTCCATTTCCCTGATTTGTGTCCATCACTTAAATCTCAGAGATATTTTTATCCATGGTAAATTTTTATGACTTTAACTAAGTCACATAGTTATTACAGCCATAAATTGTCTTAACTGCCATAATAGTCAGGGAAAGTGGAGTCAGGATTTCTGATTC